ATGGGAACAATACACAAATAACCCTCACACAGCAGAAAGAAACCTATGACGACCGAAACGTCGTCATAAATTTCTTTCTCCTATGCGCGGGTTACATATGTAAATACCACGACATCTTTGTTCAGCGAACGTTTCGGCCCTGGGACACTGATCGCATCAAATAAACAAAGAGTAAAGAGCTATAGTAATACAAGGATTATCAATTACCAGAAAAAAATCACATACTTTGGTTAGAAAATCAACAAGTTGATGAATAAGACACTTCGGGCTAAGGGACTGACTACCTCAAACTCCTCATCTTCATCATTCTTCTCTATATTGGACTGATGAAGCCACCGATTGGCGAAGTGTTTCAAGAGTAAAGATACCCAAGCGTTGCACAAGTGTCATGTTTATCAACATACCATTTGCTGGTACAGGGGAGGCCTTCCGCAGCTTAACCTGCTCCAGTTTATTAGATCTGGCCGCATCAACAGCTCTGTCTGCTGTCTTTAAAGGTCTTTTTTGGACAAAACCTAGTCCTAGGTTTGGGAATGTTCTCTATTTCTTTCTAGAATCCTGGGGTAGTCTGGAAAATCTGCCAGCCCCTGCCCCCAACATCTTGCTCCTGTGGGATTTCAACTTAAGGCACCTAAAATGGAGGAATATAGCAAATAATGTTGCTGCAGTGATAACACCAGGAGGCAGCTCTTACGAGAATTCACACACACACACGAGCTTTTAAATCTCTGCACAAAATTCAACTTAAAGCAGCAAATAACAGAGCCTACTAGACTGGAGAATACACTGGACCTCATCTTCACTAACAATGATGATCTGATACGAAATGTCACCATATCAAAAACAATATACTCAGATCACAACATAATCGAGGTTCAGACATGTATGCGAGGAGCTCCAGACCGACAATGAGATTAGTCATGAGGGAGCCTTCACCAAATTCAACTTCAATAATAAGAACATAAAGTGGGACCAAGTAAACCAAGTTCTAACCGATATAAGCTGGGAAGATAGACTAAGCAACACAGACCCCAACTTATGCCTAGAACAGATTAACTCGGTAGCACTCTATGTATACTTAAGGCTTATTCCTTTAAGAAAAAGGAGGAGTAGATGTAAAATAGAAAGAGACAGGCGTTCCCTCTACAGGCGATGAGAAATAGTAACAGAGCGGCTAAAAGAGGCCAATATATCTGAAATACGTAAGGAGTCACTGGTCAGAGAAATAGCAAACATCGAACTTAAGCTAAAGGAATCTTATAGGAGTCAGGAATCGCGGGAAGAACTAAAAGCCATAAATGAAATCGAAAGAAACCCAAAGTATTTCTTTTCCTATGCCAAATCAAAGTCGAGAACAACGTCCAGTATTGGGCCCCTACTTAAACAAGATGGGTCCTTCACAGATGACAGCAAGGAAATGAGTGAGCTACTCAAGTCCCAATATGACTCAGTTTTTAGCAAGCCGCTATCCAGACTGAGAGTCGAAGATCAAAATGAATTTTTTATGAGAGCGCCACAGAATTTGGTTAATACAAGCCTATCTGATGTTATCCTGACGCCAAATGACTTCGAACAGGCGATAAATGACATGCCCATGCACTCTGCCCCAGGGCCAGACTCACGGAACTCCGTGTTCATCAAGAACTGCAAGAAGCCCCTATCACGAGCTTTTACCATCCTACGGAGAGGGAGCGTGGACACGGGGGTCGTCCCACAGCTACTAAAAACAACAGACATATCCCCACTCCACAAATGGGGCAGTAAAGCAATAGCAAAGAACTACAGACCGATAGCACTAACACCCCATATCATAAAAATCTTTGAAAGGGTCCTAAGAAGCAAGATCGCCACCCATCAATTACACAACCCAGGGCAACATGGGTTTAGAGCAGGTCGCTCCTGTCTGTCTCAACTATTGGATCACTACGACAAGGTCCTAGATGCACTAGAAGACAAAAAGAATGCAGATGTAATATATACAGACTTTGCAAAAGCTTTAGACAAGTGTGACCATGGCGTAATAGCGCACAAAATGCCTGCTAAAGGAATAACAAACAGAACACAAAGAGTAGTAGTCAATAGAGTTAAGTCCGAGGCGGCTACGGTGAAAAGCTCTGTTCCACAAGGCACAGTACTCGCTCTCATCTTGTTTCACATCTTCATATCTGACATAGACAAGGATGTCAGCCACAGCACCGTGTCTTCCTTTGCAGATGACACCCGAAACTGCATGACAGTGTCTTCCATTGCAGACACTGCAAGGCTCCAGGCGGACATCAACCAAATCTTTCAAGGGGCTGCAGAAAACAATATGAAGTTTAACGATGAGAAATTTCTATTACTCCAATATGGTAAACACGAGGAAATCAAAACTTCATCAGAGTACAAAACAAATTTCGGCCACAAAATAGGGCGAAAAATCAACGTCAAAGATCTGGGAGTGATCATGTCGGAGGATCTCACCTTCAAGGACCATAACATTGTATCAATCGCATCTGCTAGAAAAATGACAGGATGGATAATGAGAACCTTCAAAACTAGGGATGCCAAGCCCATGATGACACTCTTCAGGTCGCTTGTTCTATCTAGGCTGGAATATTGCTGCACACTAACAGCACCTTTCAAGGCAGGTGAAATTGCTGTCCTAGAAAATGTACAGAGAGCCTTCACGGTGCGCATAACGGAGATAAAACACTTCACTTACTGGGAGCGCTTAAAGTTCCTGAACCTGTACTCCCTGGAACGCAGGCGGGAGAGATACATGATTATATATACCTGGAAAATCCTAGAGGAACTAGTACCGAACTTGCACACGAAAATCACTCAACGAAAGCGAAAGACTTGGCAGACGATGCACCATCCCCCCAATGAAAAGCAGGAGTGTTACTAGCACGTTAAGAGACAATACAATAAGTGTCAGGGGCCGAGACTGTTCAACTGCCTCCCAGTATACATAAGGGGGATTACCAATAGACCCCTGGCAGTCTTCAAGCTGGCACTGGACAAGCACCTAAAGTCGGTACCTGACCAGCCGGGCTGTGGCTCGTACGTTGGATTGCGTGCAGCCAGCAGTAACAGCCTGGTTGATCAGGCTCTGATCCACCAGGAGGCCTGGTCACAGACCGGGCCACGGGGGCGTTGACCCCGGAACTCTCTCCAGGTATTTATACCTCTCTCACAGATATATGGTTTGTAGGTTGGGCAGACTAATGAAAAAAAAAGTCGGGTCATCAACTCTCCTGTGTTTTAGTGGACTGCTAAATATTGATTCATACTAGTCTTTTAAAATGTCGCTCGTTTCTTTTACATCACTGGTGCATGAACTTCAAGTGAGTATTGGGTTAGTACTTTAGGTAGTTTTTTACTTGGAGTTTGCGTATGTATAAATATTTAGACTTTAAAGCAATTTCCTAAAGAATTTTTGGTTCCAATTTTGCTTCTTTTACCTAGTTTTAATGTTCCTTATCGGTAAATTTTTCTCGGTGTGCCCTTTTCTTTGTTGTGACATATATATTCTTGATTTTAAGCAATTCAATTAGTACACTTTTTTTCATCTTCCATCTATTCGCCTATATTCTCTTTCAATATCTGATCTCCTTGTAGGTTTTCTATGCGGGACATGTTTCATGCAGATCTTGTTTTCTTCTGCATTCAGCTTATCCATGCACTTGTCTGGGTTGAGGTCGCCCACAACGGATTTCCAGAGGTCTCGATAGCTTCTTTTTTCAGAGTAAATTCTATGGCTGTTGAAGTTAAATTTACTGAACGACCCGACAGTTGGTAGTTTCTTAGCCTCTTTACTCATTGATTTGAGTAAGAGAGATTTGCGGCGGTTAGACAGTTTATTTCTGAGATGTTTCGTCTACACGGAAGGCTTCTTAAGCCGAATATAGAAGTGACTGAAAATGGAGAAAGTAGTAGTAGTGGCGAGGTAAAAATGTGGTCAGTCTTGAGAAGTATTCTGCTCCATAGTATAATTTCGTGCGATAGTTAGGTAAAGATACCTAACTATCGCACGATGTCGGTATTGTACATTTTAATGATGAAACTCGTAGAATTTTTACTTGTTTTTATTTCAATAAGGTTGTGATTGCAGGTACTTGCTAGGTGAATGGGCACAGCAGGTTTAAGGAAACAAACCTAGTATTTCTAATCTTGCAGGGGATCGAACCACGGACACTCAGATTGTGAGGCGAGAGCGTTGCCAGCCAGGCCACGGGGGATAAAATACACAACCATAGCTGGTGCTAAACACTGCAAAACTAACTGTACGAAGGCAGTGTAGGGGAGGCAGTGTGTGTGTGTGTGTGTACTCACCTATTTGTACTCACCTATTTGTGTGTGTGTGTGTGTGTGTGAGGGGATGGAGTTTAACCCCAGTAACCTTCAGATACAATCCGAATTCCCAGCAATAATCGCCTAACATTAATGGATCTGTCAGTTGGTAATAATTGGCTTACAAGCTTCAAAGCATTTAATTGTTCGCAATGTTTTTATTAATCGGACTATCTAAGGAACGCAAATTTTCAATTATAAATTGTTCCGGAGGAGTAACCGCTTTAGAGGCCAAGAAAAAAAGATAATTTTACAGCTGCAATGAGTATACTCACAAATTTGCGGTTATGAGGGGTCGAGTAAAAATGTGGTCAGTCTTGAGAAGTATTCTGCTCCATAGTATAATTTCCAACAGTTGTTGAAAATAAAGATACCTAACTATCGCACGATGTCGGTATTGTACATTTTAATGATGAAACTCGTAGAATTTTTACTTGTTTTTATTTCAATAAGGTTGTGATTGCAGTTTTCTGTATTTGAGATTATTGTATCCCCGATACTTGAGCAATTAAAAGGTTCACTGTATTCAGTGATTTCTTCCCAAGACTGATTAGTTTTTCACTGTTGAATATCTGAATTTCTAGTAAGCCTCGTTACCTGTTTCTTCAAAGTAAACTTTCCACAGAGTGCAGTAATTCTCTGGTACGTCATCTGGGTTAACATGCCTTCCAGGTGCTGTTTGCTGGTACAATGCTGTAATTTACCGTCTTCCAAGTGTGGAGCGTTAAAATTTCCAAGGAGGGTAATATTTGATGTAAGATTCTTAGGCTTGCAAGGCAGGTATCAATTTCCCCTTATCTGTTCCCTGAATTCCTCCGACGGTGGATTACAAACGCGGAAAATTACCACACTCTTGTTCTCTGTTTCAATTTCTAGTGTCCCTGTTGGATCATTTGATGACTTCATCAGTTCTATACGACAAAATGACTCGCTGTAATTGGCACTGTAGCTATGACTGTATTATGAAATGTAGTCAATTTTCTCCCGAGATGGGAGGGATAGAAAGGCATTAGGAGAAATGAATAGAAAGAGACGAGAGGGGGATAGTAATGAAATTACTATTAGGTATCCTCCAAAGGAATCCCTTTCTGTGGTTTCAAATTTAAATCTGAGATCCAGACACCATGTGTGTGATGGCACACCTAGAGAGGCACTGGTGCCATCACATCCACCACGTGTCTAATGGTACACCGTCTCTCACTTCGCAAGTCACTGTCCCGTGACGTTTTCTTTTTTCAGACCGCGGTCGGTACAATAACCTTTCTGACCCCTCGCCAGGAGACATTTCTGAACCTGACGTGACGGTACTAGCGCCGTCTACAGTGAGGGTAACAGTCTGCCCCACGGGAAAGACCCCTTCATATTCGGAGTTGAAGGGAAGGAAACCATCATACCTTTTGGGGCGGGGATGGACGCCCTCAGTCTCTGGTGGGACGACGGGGCGTTGCTGGCCTACCTGTGACTCGTCACGAATCATAGTTTCATGGTCCCGTAGGTCGTCCTGAGGGACATCCTTGCCAAACCCAGGAAGATCCCATCCCCCGCATGGGTGTCGTACGGTAGCAGGGGATACTAGGGGACTTCTCTTTACCCCAATACAATGAGGTGGGTTCTCTCGGGAGGCTACCGTGTCCTCCTCGCAGTTCGTTATTATTTGTAGTAATAGGTTTGCCAAGAAAGTCTTTAGTACTTCTTCTTTGTCTGTTATATTAGGGTCGCCTGTTAACTTAGCGGCTAACTGGGTCCAATTGCTTTTGTCCATAGGGGCGGTAAGCTCCTTATTATCGGACTGAACCACTAGCCTTATCAAATAGTCGGATAAGAATATCTGTGCTAGTTCTATGGCATCCATCCTTAACTCTGCTACAATCGTCTTAGCTATACTAGATAGACAATACCGAGCCATTTTGGCCAAATTCCTTTTGTCCATATTAACTGCAGCAGCAAGTCCTTTCGCCAGGTGTACC